CGTGGACTCCACTGATGGATGGACTCCAGATCAGGATCTTGTTGCCTCCTCAGAGCAACAAACCCTCAGAGTTTGGCTCAGTTTCTACAACGTTGTCTTTCTTTCACACCTTCAACATTTTTACCACCAAAGCCTCCGGGTCACATGATGAACGTACACCTTCAAGGAGACCGGCTAAGATGACCGGCTTTGTCTGCTCAGGTTTTTTGAAGACAAAAGCTAAGAGTTAACAAAACAGTAGCCAAAAGAGTTAAGTCTCAAATGCCAGAAAACCAATGAAATAAACAAAACAGATGACGATTAGATTAGATGAACGTCAAAGAGGGGCTAAAAGTTTAAACCAAAACTCAACTGCAGGAAGTAAAAAAAAACTAAAGTAATACCACAACAAAGAAATGCTACGTAGTTGTCAAATATACAAATAGGAGTTTCAACAAAATACTGTAGAAACACCATGTTTGTCCCTGAACAAATTAAAATTTGTCAAAAGACACAATTTGACAAATTCTCCTTTAAACCCCTCAAGAAGCCTCCTGTTACCCTGATGTTGAAATCTTCTCCGTCGCTCCAACCTTGTGGTGACAGCCTGTGTCCTGGAGCCCAGTCGGGATCATAAATCCTTACAGTTTGGAGGCTGCACTGAAGCTGATTTACCGGCTGAACAAAAAGAGTCACCAGCAGCACTTTTTTTATTTCCTGAAGCATGTGTTTAGCTCTGTGTGTCAGGAGAAAGTGCTGGGCTGACAAATGGACTAAAAATACTGCTGCAATTTAAAGTGTCAGCAGCTAACGCTGCTAATACACCTCCACAACCTGAAGGAACACCTACAGCTGATGATGATTGCCGCTCTCACACAGAGAGAGGGCAGGAGGACCTGGACATGAGCAGCAGGGGGTCGGTGTTGTGGTCTCACTATCTGGCAGTCTGGACAAATTCAACCAACGTCTGATCACCAGCCGCAGCTTCATTAAATCTTCTCAGAATCTTTCTGTTCTAAAAAGATGACGGAAACGGCTCCTCTCCCTCTCTCTCTACCTCTGTCTCTCTGTGTCTCTCTCTCAGCTGATGTGTTTGAAATGATGTTTAAAGTAACAGACGGAAACAGCAGCATCCCTCAGGTTCATTAGGATTGATCCCTGCTGCTGCTCTGATTAAATTCTTTTTTATTTTTCAGGAAACATTTGATGCCAAAAGTGAAAATCAATGTCTTAATGAAGCTGATTAGGGATGTAGGCTGTTTCTCTCTGCTCTGAAAATGGAGCCAGCTGTTAGAATCTGCTGAGGCCAAAATTCATTCTTGGTCCACTGTGTTGTGCTTTATCTCATGTTTCCTAAACTGACATTAGAATTCATTAGGGAACTACCTGAAAACTTTTGTCATAGATGTGTTTTGCCTACGGCTCAGAACTCTAGAGTTCATCATCGTCAACAGAGCGATGTCAAACACTGAGCTGTTACAGACAACATTCACTGACACTCAGTTAACACTAAATATGACCGAGTCTGTGATTGGTGATTATCACGGTCTCCAAACATTCTTCCATTTTTTATTTTAATGTTTCATCTCTGGGCCATAGTGGAAAAATCTACAGTGAATGGACCTCGAGTGAAGGCCAAAATCATCACCACCATCATCACCACCATCATCATCATCACCACCATCATCATCATCATCACCATCATCACCAAAACAACAGTGACCTTGGTTTGTGGTGACCAGGGTTTTATTGGGCCCTAAAATGAAGGAGCCCAGTTCCCACTGATCTGGACGAATAAAACACTGCAGTGAAGTTTGACTTATGGTCTGTTGAAGCAGCGAGGTCCACTTTACCTTCTCTCTCCTACAGCAGTGGACGGATGAGCGGCTATTAATCTGAAATCCACATCCATTAGCTCTCTGTCTCTCTCTCTCTCTCTCTCTTCTCCATAACTTATGATGAGTTCATGTCATAAGTTCTGTTTATGAACCTGTCAGCTCCGTGGATTCATCGTCAGTTGGACTTCACTTTCAGAAGGTCTTGTTGTTAGATACTACTCTATGCATCAAACTGCACAGAAGAAAATGACAGTGTTGTATTAAAGCCTTAGGAGGACAAAAAAAAAAGATAAGATAAACGTAACACTTTGTGACGGAGGTGTTTTAAAATCACACAATGATGCAAACGACCACAGGAGGCAGCAGAAGACCAGCGGCTAATTCTAGCCAAGATAAAAAATAATTAATTTCCTCTTTGATAAATCCACTAGACTAAATTGAAGACTAAAGGTAGAACATGTTTAAATGTTAGTCCGATCCATGTTCCTCCATCATACTGTAGTCAGTTCCCCAGGAATGGCATTATCACTTCAGGCACTTTTTATTCAAGAGTGCACCCCCCCACACACACACAGACGCACACACCCATCCTCCAAAAAACAAAAAACATTGCAGCTCCTCTTTGTGAACAAATGATGGGATGGAAACAGATGTGAGATGTGAGACTTCTTCCTCTCTAACTCTGCTTCTTTTGTCTACACGGCTGTGCTCTCATCGATTGCATGCTTCGGGGCATGAAGGAAAAAAATGGATGTAGCAAGAAGAGCTCAGATAAAAGCCTCAGGCCAATGGAGGAGTGAAGAGCATCTCAGAGGCTGATGTGTCTTTATAAAACTCCACTTACATCTCCTCCGAGTTTGAAAGACAACAAAGGAACAGCACTGACCTACGCAGAAGCGTGTTTATATACAATATGTTAAAGGAGAATTTTTATTCCACCACCAGTGTTTGTAACTAACTGTTTTTTTCAAATGTGTTTTTACAACAGCCCCATTTCAACAACACATTTTAATAAACCATTAAACTTTAACTATTTTATCGAGCTCTTTAAAGTTGTCACTGTAATCACAGACCGTTGGTTGTTTCAAAGTTATTGGCCCGTTCTTAGAGAAGGTATGAAAAGGTGTTCCTGTGTCTGTAAGTTCACATAAAATAGGACAAATCTGTCTATCTAAAATTAATAAAGAAAATATATTTCAGACTTCTCAAATGTCACTTCATATTTCAAAGAAGCATCAAAAGCCTGAGAATTTTCCATGTGCCACAGACGCAGCAGCTGCAGGTGTTAGCATTGGTGTTGACGCTGCTGTAGAAAAGCACATCAGATATTCAGGTACAAAAGTGTACGTTTCACAGCTCATCACATCAGCTCCATCTTTTCTTCCCCGCCTGTGGTCCGTGGCAGACGCCCATCCACCCGTATCCTTTACCACGCTGCACCTGTCGGCCTGAATCTGAAACCTTCATATCATGGGCCGCGGTTCAGAGGGGACATCAACTTTTCCACAGGTCCTGTTTCAACAACAATCTGTTCTGATGTAAACACGGCCGCTCAGCGTTCACGCACCAACACAAACACAAAGAAACCACCACAAACACAAAAACATTCATCAGGTTTTCACATCAAGTCAGAACTTGACAAGAGTAGCAGCTGCAGTGAGCAGAAAACATCACAGACGATTTGATTCAATTCTGCTACTTTTTCCACACTGGACAACGTTCACGTTTATATGGCTATGGTTCAGCTAATATTAAGATACTTTGACTACATTTTTACTTTAACTTTTGTTTGTTATTTTACTACATTTAGCTAAACATTTAGCCCAATTAGGTTCAGGCTATATAACTATTTTTTAGAGAGTTGGGTTTCCTGTTCTGATGGTATATAACTTAGAGAGTTGGGTTTCCTGTTCTGATGAATAAATAGTTTCTTCTATTTACTCTTCTAGTTTCTGATGATCATCACTGTCTGTGCACTGAAGCTGTAGAAACAGGGTTTTTGTTTCAGCAACTGTCCGTGGCGGACTGTGTCACATTAGCTGCTGTCAGTGATGATGTCATCCTTCCTGTCTCCTTTGTTTGACCAGGACTGCGGGACAGGCTTTTGGTAATTTCCCTCAAGTCTACACTAAAAAAAATTCCAGATTTCTTCAAATAAAACAAAAGTAAAAATTAATTGGTGTTGAAGTTGACAAGGATACTAGTAAAAGAAATTTACAAATCACAAACACACCTCTAAGCCTCTAACATCCAAAAATATTTCTGAATCATCCTTGTGTTCCGAGGTAGAACTGCTCAGTATGTCTACGAACCTCGTTAAGAGAGCGAGCGTTAGCTTAGCTCTACGTTCTGTAGTACACAGGAAAGAGAGAACAGATTTCAGCCACTTAAAACCTAATTAAGTCCATGCATGCTTCAGACTCTACAACGGTTTCCACTTCATTACTTCGTTAGCTATCTTTAGCCTGGCCCCTTAATTTTCCCCTGTCAAAACCCGGGCCATTTAACCATTGTTTGTTTTAGTGACTGGACACACCGACAAATCGCAAATGACAAATTGAGTTGTTTTTTGTAGAGAGTCTATTTTTTACACCCTCTGGTGACCGGCTTATCAATTACCACAGCTGTGACAGTGACACCAAGAATGAGGTTCACAGTTCACAGTCTCATGTCTCTTTTTACCCTCCTCCTCCTCTGACACATGGATATGACTAATATCCACATCCTAGTGGAGGCAAAGTGTCATAAGGTTTAATGGAGGGGAACCAGATTTGAAAGACACATTCAGAGTCCAGCATCTCTCAAAGACACGGATGACTTGCTGTTCCAAATATCATGTACAGCTCGCTGTCACTGCTGATACAACCAGATTAATGTGACTGACTTTTATGAGCAGGATAAAAGCCTCTGTGTGTTACACAGCCAATTTAATTACCCCAGAAAGTTGTGCTGAACACAGTGGAGAGTTAACACAGTCAACACGAGTCCTCTGCAGCCATGGTATCAAGTCTGTCTTATAGATGACAAATTCATTTTTGTGGAGAAATTTAAAGATGGAAGGCAGTTTATTCTGGTTCATATAAAAAACTGCAAATCATTTAGAAACAACAAGTTTAACAAAATACAAAAACATTTTCTACATCTTGAGTCATTTGTTTAAAGTAGAAATGTAAGAAACGGGGGGGGAGGGGAGCGGGGTCAGGATCCAGGTCCAGGTCCAGGACATTTTCACTTAGTCTTGGGTCCTTGCAGTAATAATAGAGTCTTTTATTTCCTGTACATTGCAGTCAGCTCCACAGGAATATTAGACCTGGGGGAATTCTTCTGCAGAGATGGACGGGCATCTTTTTTGTCCTGAAAACGGTCCATTATGTGAAAACAGGAGACTACGTGGTTACTGTGAGGGATCATGCTGATGAGGTGCTGCATGGTGATGTACTTGTGCTGCAGCACTTGACCGGGTGTAGCTCGTTTGGTTGCATCAAGATGAAGCATCTCCTTCAACATGTCTACAAACATTAGTGCGTCACTCATTTGAGCAACTTTATCTGCAGCATTATCACAGTGGACGGCCTGAGTGTGAATAAGATCATCCAGACGGGTAACCCTGAAATGTTTGTTCTTCATTGGGCGAATCCCTGTCTCTGTATAGAACTGTTGTGGGCTTTTGAGTTTCCACAGGGAAGGGGTGGAACTGTTGTCCCTCTGAAAGAAACGAGAAGTTTTTCGTCCGTGCGAGAGGAGGTGGTCTGCTGGCTGACCCCTTGTCTCCACGATGAACCTCATCATGTCGTACTCCGTCTTTCCAGGGTAGAGCTGGGTCCCAAGGTAGAGAGCAGCAGCCAAGCAACCTAAAGACCACATATCAATAGCCACGGTGAATGGAAGTCCTAGGATGATCTCTGGGGCTCGATATGGACGGCTTTGAATGTAGGACCCTACTTTGGCCTCCGAGTCCTTACAGGCCATGCCGAAGTCAATGACTTTGACCCTGTAGGGCTCCTTCTCGTGGCTGACCAACATCACGTTCTCCAACTTGAGATCTGCATGTATGATGCCTGCGAGCTTTAAATGGTTGAGTGCATTGGCCAACTGCTGGATGATGGGTCTGATCTCTTTCAGAAGAAGTGAACAGCGGTCTCTCTCCTTCAGGAACTCGTACAAACTCTTGTCAAGGTGTTCAAACTCCAAACACACATGTCCTTTGTCCATGAAGACTCTGTGCCATTTGACAAGGTTGCATTTGTCAACACACAGAGACTTCAGTCTGCTCAAAGCGGCCACTTCAATGTTGGCTAGCTTCAGAAAATGTAAGAAACGGGGGGGGAGGGGAGCGGGGTCAGGATCCAGGTCCAGGTCCAGGACATTTTCGAATGTAGGAAAATATCATTACAATTTAAAATATTGTGATATTCGGTTTTACAAAATCATATCAATATTTCACAGCACTGTATCCACTTTTTTTCTCTCCAATTCCCAGTCCAATATTCCTGGTGTTGGTTCATGTTCTTCTTCTTTTCTTTCTTCTCTAGTGATTCAAAATGTAGATCCCTCTGTTCCAGTGTTAGGAACTGATGTTCAGATGGAACAGAGTCTCAGACTAGGATCACACTGGGACTACAGCTACACAGTAACAGTTTTCGTCGTGAAAATATATCGGGATATATTGTATCGTTGCCCCTGTATCGTGATACGTATCGTATCGCCAGATTCTTGCCGAAACACATCCCTTTAATTTAAAAAATGTTTGTTCTTCATTGGGCGAATCCCTGTCTCTGTATAGAACTGTTGTGGGCTTTTGAGTTTCCACAGGGAAGGGGTGGAACTGTTGTCCCTCTGAAAGAAACGAGAAGTTTTTCGTCCGTGCGAGAGGAGGTGGTCTGCTGGCTGACCCCTTGTCTCCACGATGAACCTCATCATGTCGTACTCCGTCTTTCCAGGGTAGAGCTGGGTCCCAAGGTAGAGAGCAGCAGCCAAGCAACCTAAAGACCACATATCAATAGCCACGGTGAATGGAAGTCCTAGGATGATCTCTGGGGCTCGATATGGACGGCTTTGAATGTAGGACCCTACTTTGGCCTCCGAGTCCTTACAGGCCATGCCGAAGTCAATGACTTTGACCCTGTAGGGCTCCTTCTCGTGGCTGACCAACATCACGTTCTCCAACTTGAGATCTGCATGTATGATGCCTGCGAGCTTTAAATGGTTGAGTGCATTGGCCAACTGCTGGATGATGGGTCTGATCTCTTTCAGAAGAAGTGAACAGCGGTCTCTCTCCTTCAGGAACTCGTACAAACTCTTGTCAAGGTGTTCAAACTCCAAACACACATGTCCTTTGTCCATGAAGACTCTGTGCCATTTGACAAGGTTGCATTTGTCAACACACAGAGACTTCAGTCTGCTCAAAGCGGCCACTTCAATGTTGGCTAGCTTCAGAAAACACGGCCGTTGCTTAATCATCTTGACGGCAACAGTGGTCATGTCCTTTATTTTTACACATTTGACAACAATGCCATAGGCGCCCTGTCCCAGGATGGACTGCACGCAGTATACGGAGGAGCCCGAGTTAAGAGTGCCTGGTGGTACTACCTGCTCACTCTGGGCAGGTAGAGTGGGGACCATTCTTTACAGAATCACAGTTTTGTCAAACACCTGCTGAAAAAGTCAGCACTAAGTTCTGACCACAAACACCGGTCACTGCTCATAAATGTATGGTGTTGTGGAAAAATATCACATCACATTCATAAAGTCGCACCAGTTGGAGAGTTCTTGCACACAGAGTCATCTGGTTAAGATAAAAGCAATCAAAGACACCATGAACTGTGTAGCTTCAAAGACTTGGAACTTTTTACAATTTCTAAGGGTTAATATTTAGTATCAAAGGAAGTTTCTCTGGTGATATCACATTGAATCACTTTAAAAGTGATCGTTTAACGCCCTCAAACAAAACACTTAACCGACTGTACCACAGAACAGAGCACATAAACAGGTCTGAATCTCAAGAAATGTGAAGCAGAACACAGATAACTTTATCAATATTCCCCAAACACAACACCAAATAAAGGCCATGAAGTCAGTAGCACTGAGAGCTCACCACTCAAATAGGAAAGTAGTCTCTTTTCTAGGTGGTAGTACACATTTGAAGGTAAGTGAAAAGGTTTTTAATAAAGGTTAAAAAGTTCATATTTCTTAATAGATCTGATCAAATAACAGATCTGAAACAATGAACTACATTTTTTCTAATTTTAACACAGCAATGGCAAAATTATCCCACAATCCTAAGCCCGGGATTGTGGGTTTGAGTCCCATTAGTTTAAGTGGTTCCACAAAGCACAAACATAGAGTCCTAGGTTCGATCCCACATGACAACCTGTGAGTTACAACCATGTAATTTCCATCTTTCCATTCATTCATTTTCATCCGCTTATCCGTTACCGGGTCGCGGGGGGAGCAGTCACCATCCAAATCACATTGCACCGTACCAACCCCCATAAACCTTCCTGTGGGTGGTGAGTCCACTGGAAGGTACCAACCGCCCTAACCAGGATGTGAACATGCCCAGGAGGTGAACCCTGGGGTTCCACACCAATGACAGAGACATTGGCTCTGGGCCAAAGCACCACTGCACCACCATGTAATTGATGTTGCCTAATTATTATTATTATTACTAAATAAAGATATGTGTCAGGTTTAGCTAAAAGCTAGGATTAGTTATCATGGGATCTGAAATTGGGAAAATCACCTACATTAAAAGGAATTGAACACACTTAAATGAAATTGTAAAACATCCAAAATGTAAGGGAAGCTATAAGTCAGGAATATATAATGAGAATTTACCAAAACAAAAGCAAAGTTACCACAAGAATGAAGTGCATCAGAGAAAGTATTGAGGATTATGGTGGTTTTCGGTCCAACATTGACAGGTCTATGTTTAAGATTGATATACATTAGCATTTTAATCACTGACTGCTGTGGTTCAGGTTTTTAGATCACATCCTTCATAGAATAACAACACACCAGCTATTGTTTTAGGACAGGATCTCTCTGTTTGACAAGATGTATTTGTAAAGATTGGAAATAATCAGGCAAACCACTGCAGGCTCAGGGTCTGTTTTTTCAGTCCCTGTCTGCTTGTTCTCTCATTGGCAAATAGGGAAAAATAATTTGATTTGTTCTAACATTAGTGGATTTTTATGATTGAATTAGTAGGAGCATAAAATCAGAAAGGGAACTCTTTGACAGCAGTTTAAAACCCTCAGAGCAGTGTTTTACTTGCTTCAACAACAATCTAATTTGTTGTTTGAGCTGTGACAGCTTTACATGTTCACTGAATAAATTTGTGTTCATGACCGAGTGTTTATTGGAATAGATGAAGTCAGAGGCTTGTAAGAAAGAACCAAAGTAAAGTATGTCTGAAAACATTTACAGTAAAAACAGGTCTAGTGGAGCAACACTGATCCAGAAAAAGACTGAGTGGCCTTCAGGTTATTAGAGCTATGTCCCAAACTGTGAATAGAAATGTAGTCAATAAGACTCGTGTGGTTTATTGCTCAGACATCTTCAGTTTCTGAAATGAAATTGGATCTTGATTCTGCCAAATCCCTGCAATGTTTCCCATTTTAGAATGAAGGACTGATTCTTCTGACGCTCTGTTACAGGATAGAGGTGTTCAGTTTCTGGTTTCTTTTGGACTTTTTGGGTAATTGCAGAAAGATACCCCAATGTTTTCAGCTCTGTGGACAAAAAAAGTACTGGCTTCGGTTGTGTTTTGGCTGATAAAATCAAATATAGGCCACTTCTCTACCATTAGTTCATTGGACTACACTGCAGACAATGTATACATGCACATGCTACACTTCATTAGTTTGGAATAGTATGTTTATAAGATAGAGAATGGATTCTATTAACAACATATTTAGAAAGATTAAAAGAAGTCAAACTGCTATATGTCATACACAAAATGTTCCTTCTAGTTTTGGCTCACTCCAGTATCTGCCCAACATTGAACTCAACATCTGCTAAAACAATAGTAATTATGAAGATGTAAAACATTTTTAGAACTTCCTCAGGTTCAGTGCTGACACCTAACTATAATCAATTACTTCACTAACCCACTAATCCTGGTCTTCATGTTACACTGGCTAATGACATCATCAAGTCCGAACATGTCTCATTAATACAGTGAATCAAATTACTGTGAAAGTCTCACTCCATCCAGTTTGCAGAAGGAGGAAAGATGAGACGCAGAGATTAGACAGAGACACGAGAAGACAGAGAAACGAATGTCCTCAAGGACAGGTTCAGTTCGTCCGGATGCCTTTGAGTTCAGCTTTGAAAAGTTTAATCACATTCACACAGAGATAGTGTAGCATCAGTAGTAATAATGGGATAGTACAGTATCTTGCTGAAAGGCACTGTGACGTACACTTTGAGGAAGATTGTGTTTGAACTGCTCCCAGTGTTCAATGGTAATGGAGAAACTATTTATTCATATTATTTTAGACCGTGGGCCGACAGACACCAAACCTCCGACTTCTGGCTACAGCAGCTACTAGCGTAGTACTAAAATGCTCCGACTTCGGACTATAGAAAGACCATAATGTTACAGTGTTCAGTCTAGCAGATGCTGCCATCGAACATTTGGCTACAAGCTACATTAACTGCTCATTTTCAATATCCCTCACCAAAGTTAAAGAGAGAAACTTCACAGCACTTTAAAAAAGTCTGCTTCCAAGTTCTCGGTCAGCCATCGCCGCCCATCCTCAATGCATCAAGCTGTCGTTCTATTTCTGGGCAGCCGGACAGAGACGTGCTATATCAGCGCCTGTTCAGACGGGCTTTATGAGAGACCTTCTCCACCTCCTCTTCGTACATCTCTTCCGCTTTTCTCCTCCTGCTCCAGCAGTTCAACTCCATTGTCAACATGATTAATGAGGATGGGAGCTATCTGTAGCCTAGCTACTCAATCTTCCTGTTTGATGAATTTCAGACCGTGTAACTGTTGTTTATTTTCTTTGCTGGACATTTTCATCCTAGATGACAAATTAAATCTGCCATGTTTTTAATGAAATCTCTTTTCCAACCCATCGTTCCTTTTCCTCTTTTTCATCATTTGACCTGCACATAAATTATGTCACTGACTGAGGCAAAGATAAGAGTCTCATGTCTTTTTTTCCCTTCTCAAATATGACACATGGAAATGTCCAAGATTCCTAATAGAGTTACAGTGTCAGAAGGTTTAATGGAGGGGAACTTGAGTTGAATGTTAGTTTCCGAGTCTAGCTCTTGTAGCCAAGACACACACCACTTGTTGTCCCGAATATTAAGTACAGCTCACTATCACTGCAAACACGACTAGATTAGTGTGAGGGATGTATAAGAAACCACTGCATATGATATGATATGGCAGAGGCAATTTAATTACCCCAGAAAATTGACAACACCATGGAAAGTTGTGGCACTTTGGCCCAGAGGCAATGTCTCTGTCATTGGTGTAGAACCTCCTGGGCAAGTTCAAATCCTGGTCAGGGCGGTTGGTACCTTCCAGTGGACTCACCACAAACAGGAAGGTGTAGGGGGGTTAGTACGGAGCAATGTGATTTGGGTGAAGACTGCTGCCCCTGCGACCCAGTAACGGATAAGCAGATGAAAATGGATGAATGGACAATAGAAAGTTCATAGTTATAGTTTTATGTTAAAGCTGCAGACCAATGTGACACTCGTTAATGGCCTATTATATATATATATGTTTTCAAACATTATGATGAAAAGTAGCTTAAAATGATTTTTGACAAAAAAAACCTGAACAGAATAATTCTTAAGCATTTTTATTTTATTTTATACAGTGTACAAAATATTACTCTTGAGCATAGTCCTAAGAGGTGTTTTTTTTAAAACACTGAACATTTCAGTGTTTTAAAAAAAACACCTCTTAGGACGATGCTTTATACACACTGTTATATATAAATTTTAAAAGGGCGGCTCCCACAAGGCCCCACAGGTCATTCAATGCTCAATCTGCTTCACTTCCATTGGAGTAGCTGGAAGAAGTGTCAGATACAGAAATTAGTGAGTTTCTGGAGCTTAGGCTCACAGTAGGAACAGACGGAACCCAGAACATACCTGCTCTACCACTTGTAAACCAGGCACTATGGTCAGTACGAATCCTTTTAGGTCCAGAACTGTTGCCATCATCAGCCATCTTCCTTTTAACAGGGACGGCACCATGGTCAGGCCGGGTCCTTGCTCACGGGACCCGGCCGGGCTCAGCCCGAACAAGCGACGACCACCCGCAGCAAGGCCCACAAGGGGCCGGTGCCTTGTGATTTGGGTGGCGGTTG